AGTAATCCGTGGACGGCTGATTGAGTTAGGAGCAAGGAAGAAGCGTGAGGCAGAACGGGAAATGCAGTCCCTGTTGGAAAAAATTAGGTCCCTGGAACATCTCCATAAACACTCGCTACAGCTCACTCACTATCACTCCCTTTTGCAGGCCAGAGAAGCCCTAAAAACTCTTCTTAATCACAAAACTGCTCAAAAATTAATGTGGATGAGTCAGCGGGACTACGAATGGGGTAACAAACCTGGTAAATATTTAGCTAGATCCCTACGCCACAAACATTCCACTACCTATATCCACCAAAATTAAAACCACCTACACTTAGTCAAGATGTCCTCCATATCTACAAGAAAGTTATCTGGCCATTCCCCGGTTCTGACCTCCCTTAACTGGCCCTCGTTACCCTCTAGATCTACCAATTGGAAGCTCAATTAATATTTACTGCGCTGTCCCATCGCTAAAGCACAGCTGACCATGGATTTGCAGACTTACTTTCAGACTAATGCCACACCAGGTGACTCTCCAGCAGTGCTCTGGGAAGCACACAAGGCAGTAATCCATGGACGGCTGATTGAGTTAGGAGCAAGGAAGAAGCGTGAGCCAGAACGGGAAATGCAGTCCCTGTTGGAAAAAATTAGGTCCCTGGAACGTCTCCATAAACACTTGCTACAGCTCACTCACTATCACTCCCTGTTGCAGGCCAGAGAAGCCCTAAAAACTCTTCTTAACCACAAAACTGCACAAAAATTCTTGCATTATATAGCAACCCCCAGCCACAGTCCTTCCTTTTCTCTGGATGCCCTTTGTCGCCTCTGCTGTTTGCCATCTCCCTAGAACCCCTCCTGTCCACAATAGCCCATAGTATTGACATCAGATGAGTGCAGGTGGGATCCAGAGAACATAAATCCCTGCATATCCCTTCCAAATTTATTGTTAGCGTTGAAAGACTATAATAAGATGTCCAACTTCAAAATTAACCTCTCTAAATCCATTATTCTGAACCTGACTGTACCCCCCGCTGAAGCCAGGGCTTTACAGTCCCACTTCCCCTTTTCATGGCAGTCGCATAAACTGAAGTGTCTAGGTGTTAATTACGCATCCCGCCTGAAGGACTTGTTTCGCTATAACTACATGTCATTATTGAATGAAATACGTGCAGACCTGAATCGTTGGTCCCCTCTTTACCACTCCTGGATGGGCAGAATAAATGCCATCAAGATGAATGTGTTGCTGAGACTGCTCTTCCTCTTTCAAATGCTACCCATCAGTGTTCCCTCTACCTATTTCGCCCTCCTACGCTCGTTGGTCTTAGATTCATATGGAAGAACAATAGAGCTTGCATTTCTTATAAAGTCCTGACTAGACCAAAGTCTCTAGGTGGAGTTTCCCTCCCTGATTTTAATAGGTACTACAGAGCTGCCTCACTAGCTAGGCTCTTAGATTGGCATAATGCTAAAGACACCAGACTGTGGGTGCAGATGGAATACACCTTAAGCCGGGCGCCCTTACATAAGATATGTTGGATCCAGAAGCATTACAGACCACTATCCGGAGACACCCACATCTTAACTAATACGACATTATGCATATGGAATGCAGTCCATAGCAAACACCGCTGGGAATATAATTCCCCCCTGATGCCCTTATTAGGGCATAGCTATTTCTCTCCGGGTCTTATGGATGATTGTTACCGCTCCAGGATCCAGACAGGGACAGAATTACTACTCCACCAGATATTACAAAATGGGCGTCTCATGCCTATGGCCTCCCTATATCCAGATACTGACCCTTCAATTATGGATGTATGGAGATACGGGCAGCTGTCTCAGTTTGTGTGGACACTCCCGGGCCCCTTGAGATCCTGATTAGAACTCAACCCCATAGAACAGCTCTTCCCAGCAGACTCCACCCCCGTCAAGTGTATCTCATTAATATATGCAACACTATCTCACATGGACGCTACCTCTAACCCACCCCATCTGACGCAATGGGAAAGGGAGTTGTACAGCCCACTTACTGAGAAACGCAGATCCCGCATATTAGTCTTATCCCTGGGGCTCTCTAGATCCACACGTATTCAGGAACTCAACTATAAGTTACTAAGTCGCTGGTATTACAAACCTCAGAGGATGCACCAGATCGATAACTCGATCACTCCCCTGTGCTGGCGGGGTTGCGGTGTAGTAGCCACACATGCCCACATCTGGTGGCAGTGTCCTATTATAGCCTCCTATTGGAGAGAGGTAACTTCTGAGATATTCACGATTCAAGGCTCCCCGGTACACTTCGACCCTGTTTCATGGGGCACAAGGTCATGTGGGAAGATATGCCCGCTCCATTACGCCGCATCTGCTTAATGCAGCTAAATCCTTAATACCGACCAAATGGAAAACTACATCTCCTCCTTCCTTACTGGAATGGATTAATAAAGTAGAGTAGATTTACCGCATGGAAGAACTCACCCTAACTAGATTAGACCAAAAGTAATGCCTCTCCAAAACCTGGGCTTGCTGGCTAGCTTACAAGACAACTCCCTCTTACCTAAACAGGATATCTCCAGCTGACCCCTGAATGCACTGAATATGTAATGGCGGACTAGTAGTATTAATGTTAAAATCACTATCACCCTGGATATCAAAGAAACATTGGTATTATAGAGTAACATATATAACGTTGGCTCATATGCTTCATATTTCATACTTCATATTGTATATTGTATATACTCACCTGAAAGAGCATTCAATGCTATGTTGGATATGATCCTACTTCCCCCTCAGCTCTCCTCTATCACCCCACCTCTCCCCCTTCCCTCCTCCCTACTTCACTAACCCTACCTACACCCATACCTTACCGTTTTTCTTTCTTTTTTCAAGCATCAGGAAACCACTTGGGGACCTAGATAATTGTTAGCACATAAGATTTAGCTGTATGGATTGTAAATCCACCATTGTCCATGTTCCAATTTGTATAGACACTTATCCTGTGCTACTTGATATCTTTTTATTTGTCTTCTAATAAAAATGTATTATACAAAAAAATTGGAAACTTTGCAAAAAACAAAAAATATTGGCGGTCTGGCTCTCCCTAATCTGTGGTTTTATTTTTTAGCTTCCCAGGTGCAGCACCTCTCTGTATGGGAACGTATGGAACCCATGCCATTGTTGCCTTCTCTTCTCGCTTTTCTGTTCAAGGGACTGGACCCGCTGAGCTTGTTGGAAACAAAGTTGTATACTAGGCAGTTTTCACATCTGGCCTCCATAAAGTTAAGGGCATTCTTCATATTATGGGTTGTACTAGATACACCCCACTATGGAACAATTAGTATCTTCCAGAACTGTTTAAACTACGGGGCTTTGCTGCATGGAGTAGAGCCAGGATATGTAAAGTAGACCAGCTATACATTGACGGTTCTTTATGCTCCTCCCATTTAGTGTCTCATTATCACATCAATAACACACACTTTTTCCAGTACCTTCAAGTTCGGCGTGCCCTCTTGTCTCAATTTGGGGTAGCTCCCCCACCTATATGTCCCACTCCGGTTTTGGATGCACTGGTTCAGTCGACACGCAAGAAGGGAATTATTTTGTTTCTATACTTTAATTTAATGAACAATTCCTCCTCCCATACAATGACAAGAGTGAGAGATAGGTGGATTCAGAATATAAGACCTAATCACTACCCGCGCCTCACCACCTTACCCAGCTTTTCATTTTACATAGATTGTACCGTGCACCTGAATTTCTGGTTAAAATTGGTATCAGGGTTCACTGATACATCTCCTATGGTGTTGTCCTAAATTGGTTAGGCCAAATAATTGGAGCCAAATAATTACACTGATTATTTCAGTCTTTAACATCTCCCTTGCCTTGTCTCTGCTTACCTGCCTCTTAGGAGGAATAGATTCTCCCATTTTGTCTACCCATTTGAGATCAGCTATCCATAGAGCCTTATTTACTGCCAGGAGAATCATTGCATGCAAATGGATATCACACTCCCCACCTTCTGTTTCAGAGTGGATGATTGAGCTAGATAGGATCCTTGCCTTTGAAAGGACAACGTACCAAAGGAGAGGGCTTGATAGTAAATTCTCCCTGATTTGGTTTTCTTGGTTACACTTTAGATCCCGGTAGTCAATGTTTCTTGGTTGTATTCCTTTGGTAATCTCAATTAAAATATACTATAGGGTCTATTCACTAAGCTGCTGTAGGCAGCCGAGTGAATGACCGACCTGAAGTGAAGTGAGCCGAACACTGTTCGGCTATTCACTTCAGGCTGGTACGGCTGATTTCAGCTGTACATCGGCTGAAATCAGCCATACATTCCCTTGCTTCACGTGGCTGCGCATCGGCCGAACATGCTCAGCATGTTCGGCCGACCCGAAGTGCAGAAGGAGTTCGACTCAGCCAATCCAACATCTGGATCGCTGAGCCGAACCTCCGGCAGGCTACTCACTGCTGTTTGGCCTATTCTTAAAGATGCCGAACAGCAGAGAGTGAATAGCCGAATGCCGCTGAGCGGCATTTGGCTCGGCTGTTCTGCTCGGTCCCTCAGAGGTACTGAGCAGAACAGAAAAATAGTTAAAAAATGTAAAAGAAAGTAAATAGAAAACGATTGTGCGGAGCTAGCAGTGACATCTAGCTCCACCCAATAGTTTCCTATTGTCCGGCGGCTCTGCTGCTGTCAAAAAAAAACTCTCCCGGGCGCTCTCCTGTCCTAAGGTGACAACAGTGGTCTTCCATAGATACAGTATAGTGAGTGAACTTTGTTACCCTATTACAGCAGGTATATTGCTGGTCAGAACACCAGTTTAAAATAAAGAAAAAAAAGCCAAAACTAAGATTACCAGAATTTCAAATCTGTTCCAAAACGTGTTTGTCTCCTTGATAATTTCTGTTAATAAACATAAATATGCATATACAATATAGGATGAAATGCTTTGTGTATGCTGAATTCCAATAAAGATCACTTTACTAATTGTTAAAGAACAGTATATAACACATTTTCCCCCAAAGTACTGACTTGGCCGATGTAGAAAAGCAATATAAATCATTTTAATATGCATGTATATATTACATTATTTAACTCTCAAAATATTTGTTGCTGTCTTATAGAAATAGCAATCACTGCTAGACAATCTGTATACTAATACAATGAAGTTATGTATACTGTATTTGCAGTACTGGCTCACATGAGATCTTGAGTATTGTTTTTCCATCCTTCAAATTAACTTCCTTATCGCACTGATTGTCATAAATAGTCATTGTGCTTTTGCATAATGCCCACTCTTGATCTAACAGCAGTTCAAATACAAAATATGGACAGTACAGTTAAGCATGCTGGAGAACACAGGCAAACTATACAACCATGCAGAAAATATAGCTTGAAAAATATACAATAACATCAACATGCGCTATGTATATAACACTTTTCCTGGGAAGCCAGGAGTCAGGATATAATTATACAGTCCTTGTGGTTTCTCTTGAAAAAAATGTCTTCTGGTTTGAAAAAGAGCCAAGTGCAAAAATAGAGAAAGGCACATTGTGCCCCATTTTGCTGTTTTCAATAAATTTTACAGCATGCATTCTGGTCTTTCCCAATAAGTATGACTCTAGGTTCTCGGATGGATCAAAGAACGGTCCAAAGTTTATTGTTTCAATGTTCTTCTTAACCACTGAAAGAGTTCTTCCCTGTATAGTCGCTGCCATTGTACGTTAGCATCTACAGTTTCCAATGCCCTGGACAGAGGAGCCACAGCTGACCCTACTTTGTGGAGCTGTATAAAGTTTTTTAGCTGAAAAGCAAAAAAAAAAAAAAATGGAATGAATATCATTCACAACTACAAATGTAAATTGCATACAAAGTAATATCTACAGTCTAACATCTTTTTCGGTAAAATATATCTAAAGCCAAAACTTTTTTTTTTTTAATAGGGCATAGAATAAAATCCCTGTAAGATATTTCACCATCTGTGTTCCATTGGGGAGATTTCCCTTCACCTTCTGTCATGTAGACAAAACAGGAGAAAAAATCTCTCCAAAGTAATGTGAATTTCCCTCTTTGTTACTGAAACAAGATATGTTATGTTAAAAAATAATAAATGTATCATTTATTTAATTTTTTCACTTCATTTTATTTAAGTCTACACAAATGTAAATGCAAGAGCATGTGTTTTCTTACTTCGGTCCTGGTGTCTTTTCGGTATTGTTTCTTTATATTTGCAGTAACTCATCCTGAAAGAATGTATGCATTTTGCCTCAGTGCAGGTATTTGCTGTAATAAAGACTGTTCATTGCAGTTATATTTCCTTAAGTAGGGTAACCAATAGGCGGTTCACTTTGCAAGAGAATTTGCACTTTGCAGGGGGATTTTACCTTAGTTTGGTCAATGTGGTGAAACTTCACTTTGTAAAGAATACCCAATTAGGAAAATAAAAAAACAGCATTTTTTCTTGAACAAGATTGGGTAATGGAAGTCAGCAGAGCTTCCCCTCATTCATTAAACTAAGGGCAAACTTCCCCTGCAAAGTACAAATTCCCTTGCAAACTGAACAGCCTATTTGTGTGTGCCCACTGATCTGTCACCGCCCATCACTGATAAGCAGCATATAAAAAAAAAAGCAGTGAAAATGATCCTGGCACCAAAAATTAAAATAATGTTTAGAATCTTTAAATAATCCCCCACTTCCATATCTGATTATTACAGTTGAAAGCATATATAACCATTAAGGTTATAGTAAGACAAGACTAAAAGAATCAAAAAGTCCTCCAATTGAATCAGTGCATAGCACAGTAGAGCCTTCTTAGAATAGGAGGTATAAACATGTCTTATGCTTTCACATATCTAAAAAATAAGAGGATTGTTTCCCATTTTAGGGCAGTGGGCAGAGCCATCCACACCATTCCTTTATGCCCCAACAGCCAATGCACATCCATAACCACTGGTATATGGTACAACTCTAGCCTCTTATTAAAGAACCATTAATTCCAAACTGCATACAGTTGTTTAAGGCTTTTAGAGCCCCCATCAGTGCAGTGAAAGGAAACAATGGCTTCTATGGAGTAGAGCTTGGGACCCAGAGAGCAAGTATAACCATTAGGGTTATAGTGATAAGGGACTAAAGGAACAAAAATGCCCTCCACTCCAATCAGTGTATAACACAGTAGAGCCTCCTTAGAATAGATGGAAATCACATCTCATTGCATCACATATCATGAAAATAGGAGGATTACCAGTTATTGCATTGTAAACAGCTTAGCCACAATGCCTCCTATTGAATTACGGATGTAGTTAAAGAGTGTCAATAGGGGTGCAGAAGAGTTCAACATGCCAAACGCACTTTTAGAGGGGCACCCCTTTGTTCCTTCCAAGTGTAAAGGTCATATAGCCTGGCATCATCATATCAGTAAACTGCACATTTGTTGTCCATTCAGCGTCTTTGCCTGGTATGTCCTTTGGGCTGGGTTAAGGGATAATATTGGCAGGCGTATGTTGCAAATAGCGTCTAGAGGAGCTGGAGGTTTCACACCCCAGGTTATGAATACAAAGGAACAGATTGTTTCCGCAGTGGGCTGTGCAAGGACCCAGTGGGGAGAAAAAAGGGGGCTTTTTAGAAACCAGTCCAGACCTCGTATATAAAAGTTTTAGAAAAACATTTATTCACTAAATTGTTGTATACATAATTTAGAACCAAAAAATAAAGTACAAAATCATGTCATCAATAAAAATATATATCATTAATAAAAATACATATTTGAATATGCAGGTTCACCGTTAGGTGACACTACTGTGCGGTTACGAGATATGCGGTAACTTATTTTCAGATGATGTAAACGCTCCTATAGGTCCCTACATGTTTCGCCCCCAAGAAGGGGCTTCTTCAGGGGAAAGAAGGCAGATCTCCGGGAGAACTGTATTCATGTATGTCCTCGCCAGATGTATAATCAAAGCAACGAAAGCTAGATGACATGAAGCAACTGCAACGAAATCATATAGGAGGTTGATTCTATCGAAGGTAAACCGCCACGAACAACAATAGATGGAGGGATCGCGTCGGGGAACAGCACACTATACTCCTCAGGAATCACGGGCAGCCGGTGAGGTACACTTAGGGGTCATGAAGTTCTATTAGGGGGACATATATAGACCGGATCTCTTGCCGCGTGTGAAGTTACTGTTTGTATCACTGGAATCAGTGTCCTTTGGGCTGGTACCAATTCTTTTGTTACTTTTGTAAAAAATGGTAATGTAAAACAATGTCTCATGATGATCCTGTGGCATGAACTGTATGTTAAAAATCTTTTACTTGTCTGTACAGTAGTAAAATTATAAAGTAATGGTAATCTACTACCACTCAACATTTGATTTTGCACTCCTAAATCAGCAGTTAACATAGTAAGGAAAAATATAAGGTACTGATATTACCTTCCCTCTGGTACTTTATTTGAGTCACGCTTTTCACTTGAATTATGGGTTACTGCAACTTATTGTCTAATGGGATTTGTGTTTTAGAGCCAACTTACCTAAGTATTCACAGTAAACAACATCAGGGACAAATTTAATAATACCCATTCAACTTTTTATCTGACTTATTTTTTACAAGGTTATTATTGAGAAGCAGGTGCTGTACTAAAGTACCAAATAGTTAACACACTAAAGGAGCTCATACACTGAAGCTTGTTGTCATAGAATACTGATTTTTCTTATGAATGCGAACAATAATCGGATCTCATAAACTAACTTCTTTCACTCCAGAATGTTGAAAATATGATACATAATATTGCAATACTGTGCTTAAGAATGTAGCAAATTAGATTTTTGGATACAAGCTGAAGGAATTGGAGCAGGTATTTGATATAGAAGCAGTCAAAATACAAATGTAAGAATTTAATACAATTAACTTTCAACATGCCCCTTTTTTCTACTCATATGTCTTCCAATCAGCTTGTAAACTAACTTCTCTTTCCCAAGGTTATTCTTGAGATGTACTGTACATTTTGCAGGGGTCAAAAATACCAAATAGTTATCTTCAGCATATGAGTTCCTTTAGTTTGTTAACCTGCGTGTTATTTTTTCTTTTGAAAATTAACAATAACCTTCTCTTTTACAGTGGAGCTTCAATCAAAATGTTTAAAAAGCCCATGCCGATGAGAACAAGGGCCTCTTTCCCATAACCCCGGTCCGGTGGTTGTGGGGGGTCTGTGGGCCGGGGCGCTCAATTGCATCTGGGTGCTCCCTTCCATAATTGAACACAAAATCAAAGTCAGTTTTTGACAAGTCCTTTATTATGAAAATAAAAAAAAACCCCAAACAACTGTCCTACGATGCAATCACTGGTCAATCACGTTGTCCAGCGATATAGATCCTCATCAATCATGCTGAACAATGTCCACAAACTCATTGAGATAAAAAAAGTCCCATCATTTTGCGGTGGTAGTTTAACGGTAGCGGATGGGTCACTGGGCGACAGGTCTTATGTTTTGTGCTTTTTAAAATTTGTATAATAAAGGACTTGTCAAAACTTTGTTTTTTTGTTCAAATAAAGGACTTTTTCAAGGTGTTGTATTTTTATTAACGTTTTTTTCTGTACTGTTTGGTGAATTATTAGGTGTAACAACTACCCCTTACTCATTCACAAGGGGGGGCGCCTAAATACAGATAAGCCCCACTGCCCACAAAACACCCTCCTAATGTCAAAGGCATGTGGCTTGGTATGGTGCAGGGAGGGGGGGCGCTTGCTCATCCTCCCCTTTCATGTCCTGCCAGGCCGCTGCTGGTATGGAACTTGTAGGGGAACCCCATGCATTTTTTTTTGGATCGGAGGTCCCTGCTGACATTCCTACTAGACCTAAAGGGTCTAGGGGGACACTGCACACTGTTTTTTTGTATTGTATCTTTTAACAATTTGCAGGGATTTGGTATGTTCAGCTCGGCTGCTTACTTCAGCTGCCTTCTGCTGCTGTACGCGTTATTGAGAATAGCGTAAACAGCAGTCTTTCGGTTCGGCTCTTTGGTGAATAACCCCCTGAATCTTTACCAAACAGTGCCTACAGACATAAGTGATGTACTTGAATAAAATTATGTGAAATAATTTCCTTCTGAATCACTTATTTAACAAAAAAATTATAGATGTAATGGTGTACTGTGGAAATAGTAAATGCACCCTTCATATCAGAAACTAGTATTGCCTCCTTTAGCAGAAATTACTTCTTGTAGGCATTTTGCATAACTGACCACCAGTCACTGACATCAACTTTGAAAGTGTTTGAATTTTTTTACCATTTCTCTATGCTTTGCATGAACTGCCATTTTAAAATCCTCTTACAAAATTTTTGACTAGGGCAGTCCTTTAATCTATTCTTTTTGAGCCATTCCTTGCTTGATTTCTTAGTGTGCTTTGGTTTATTATCATATTGAAAGACCAATTTCTGATTTATATTCAACTTTTGAACAGATGGCCTCATATTCTCATCAAGCACACTTTGATATTATGCAGAATGTATAGTTGATTCCATGACTACAAGCTGCCCAAACACTGAAGCAGCACAATCCCAAACCACAACATTTCCACCACTATGCTTCGCAGTTGTTCTGAAGTTCTTCTGCTGAAATTATGTCTTCAGTTTGCAGCAACCATGGCTACTGTCGCTCTGACCAAATCACTCTCTCCTTGATTAATCAGTCTTCAGCACATTGTTGCAGAAGGTCTTGTCTTTGCCTTTATTTTCAATGACAAACTGTAGTCCTGCTCCATTGGTCTTTTTGCACAGCAATAGCATTTTCTGAACACCCCGTTCATGTAGATTAAATTGGCGCCATGTCTTTTTGATTGCAGATGCATGTACTTTAAAATCAACTGTTCCAAGAGTTATCTGAACACACTGTGATAAGATTATGGGGAGTTTGGGATATTGTTGTTTTTTGCAGTTTCGCGGGTGAACACAATTTTAAGACTTGACGTGTTTGGTATCTATTTACGCAACGTGATCCCATCTTTTATATTTTACCAAAAAATTGGGTATTATATTCTGTTCTGTGCACAAAATTTTATTTTAGTGTATTTTATCCTAAAAATGCGGGATTTGCGCAAATACCGTGCAACATAAAAATTGTGTGTGCAAATATCAAGGAATTGCTCCGGACAGCAAGTGGTTAAATCCCTTTTCAGAACCATAGGCATTCTAAACTGTCTTTATGAGGGCCTTAGAGAGCTTGATTTATCTTGGCACGACACATGACATTTATCTTGGCATGACACCACAATGTCAATAGTAAAAAGAACACCAGACTCCAGATATCTGATGTTTAAAGAACACAGGTTTCACCCGAATTCATCATTTGCGCCTAATCTTCAACACCCAATTCTAATATTATGGATTTAAAGCAGTGGTAAATGTAGGGGTGTACTTTCTTTGTCCATATGACAAATCTTAATTTTTTTTATTTAGATCATGAAAATAAATACTCCAATTTATGTTTCATTTGTTCAAGTATATCATCTTTATCTGTAGGCACTATCTGAATCAAGATCTAACATTTGCCTGTTTAAATACCTTGAATAATAACGTCAATAGCGTCCATGGGGTGTGTTTACCTTAATATTATATATATATACATATATATATATATATATACACTGTACATATATACACACACACCACACACACACATATCTCTATGTATGTACAACTACAATCATAATCTCACAAATTTTTAGATTTGTGGGAAGACTTAACATTCAGTAAGTACCTTCATTATTACTTTTTGTTTTTCTTCAAAATGTATTTCTTACAGTCAACTGTTTGGGTCTAATTAATACTATACTCTTAATCATACACAGATGCGGCACACAAAAAAAAGATAAAGGAAGAAAATAACTTGTCGAGCATTTTAGAATAGCTATAAAACATTTATATTCATTTTATACTATGTCAGTTTGACAGAATGAATTGTGGGAGCATATTTGGAGAATGGTGTTTCATAGAAAGCATAAACTGAAAAAACTGCTGCCTTAGTAGAAAAAAAAGTGGTTATACAGAAACGTTATCCTGGTTTGCTTTGACATTAACATAACATTATTTTTTAATTAAAGTACAAAACTGTTCAATAAATGTTTGATACATGTTTTAAAATATTATAATACTTTATACATTTGCTATACAGTATATACATATATAGCAAGGGTTTATTAGATGATGTGTTCCTCTCCTTTTTTTGGGTTATCAAATAAATTATGGCATTTACTTAGCAATTCTAGTGAAGCCCAATAGAGATAGGCCAATCTCACTGTGGATAAATATCCTAGAGTATGATGGCTTACATGGGATCTAATGCATTAATAAAATTTGGATAATGATTATGAAACATTGACTGAATATCTAGGAAAATATTATAGTTAGATTGTAAAGTTTGCTCCTACACATTAAAACCTCACTGTACAATGTACTTTAGATTTATTAACAACTACATGGTGCATTGGTCTAACTGATTAAATATATACTGAATAAAGTGTTAAGGTAAGCTCTCGCACTATACAGCTGTTGGCAAATCAGATTGTAAATTATGTGGCTAGTGTAAGTCTAAACACCTTACAGTAGCTTGCAACAGTTTAAGCTAATAAAACAGAAACTAACTAAAGATAAACAAAATTAGCAGCAGCTAGCTGACTCCTCAGCTCAGTGTTATACTAAGCTTTGGAGTGCCTCCCAAATCTGAAAAGTACAGTGTACCGGCAAGCAGCCAAATCATTAATCTGAGCAGCATATACGCTGTACTAATTCTTGAGGTGCTTATCATTTGACATTAAAAAACTCAGCAGCCTGCAGTGTGAGATAGGTGTATGCCACAGGACAGTGATGAGGATGGCACTAGACCTGGGCCTGTTATTTCTGTAAACCATCATCTGCATTCAAGTTAAGAATTTTGTTTTACATTTTATTTGTTCTTTTTAATTGTGTCCAAATGTGTCATTATTCACTAGGAGCCTATTCAGCGGCTGAAATTGAACACATATGGGATGTTTGTTGTATCATTTTCATTATTATCATTCATGTAGTGCAGGTATATGTATAAACTCCTTTGACCTATTATATTTAGCAAAACGGCTCTCCCATTAAAATATACATTTACCTCATTTAATTCTTCTTCTGTATTGAGAAATTCTGTAACTCCACTTATAAGTTTGGAATTCATAAATAAGGCTTCTCCATATCTAAGGAGAAAGTATATAGCTTTACTCAGGTTATTACACATAGTAAAATGGCATTATGTAATATACTCGAATAAGTTAAAGCACACAAGATATTAATTTACATTATTTTAAGTAGATAACTATATAAATAGTTATCTACTTAGACAATAATGTGACTCATCACAAAATAATTTAAAATATTTGTTTTAATAAAACTCCTATTGGCATTTTAAAATGCATGTCCAGCCAAAATGATTTTGTTTT